TTTGAGAAAACAAAGGCAAAACATCAATAATTTATTGTTTCAAATTTTAATACAACTAAATAGATAAATTACTTGGAATGTAACTTCGGACTTGTAAATAAGAAGCAAAATTATCGTATTAATTCATGTTGCTCAGAACGCAATGGCAAGATAAGTATTGAAACTTTTATTGAAGGCCGGAACTCATCTCAAGCAAACATACAAATACTTTATTTCATTAAACTTGGTATTGACAGTATCTATATGTCTATCTATCTATCTATCTATCTACATATTTTAACAAACATTTAAATACGTAAAAAGCAAATTTAAAGTTAAAATATAAAAAAAGTGCAAACATAAAGATTTAATTTTCGAAACTAATCTACAATATCATTAAATTAAGATAGCATAAGATAATTCAAGTGCAAACCAACCATGAAAATAAATTCACCAATTTAGCAAATTAAAAAATTAATCTATTTTTAATGCATAAGTGAATGACTGTTGAGGTATATATATATATATATTAATATATATATAATATATATATATGTGATGTACCAGATTTTGTCCGGAATAAATAGATTGATGAGGAATCATAGATGTAATCGTAGCTTAAATTATCAGACGATAAGTTTAAAAAACAGGATCCATTTATTATATTTCAGGAGATATTTGCAGTTACAAAAATTAAGATCTTTGGAGTAAATAAAAACGAATTACTAATAACTTTTTGTATTAAATTTACTGCATCGTTACATTAAAGAAAAGACCCCGATATTCCTTTTCGGGTCCTTTTATAGCCTCTGAAAAGGCAGAGCTTCGAAGAGATGACGTCAGCCTCGTCAGCCATTCCAGTTCGCTTTAAATATTTCCAGAACATTCTATAACTGTACGTGTAGAAAAGGCGGGAAATACAACTTGACTACGGGCTGTGCATTTAATTCCACGTACTTTCAAATAAGAGAACGTCGCCATTAAAAATGAAAAGAACATACAGTTAGAATTTTAAATGTATTCTTGACTATGGAATTTTATTATTACGAATATATATATATATACATATACATTCGTTTTTCGTAAATGTTACAAGGTATGTAGGCAACAGCTTTAATATATTTCGACTTATAAAAAGAGGTTATTAAAAAGATAAACATTCTCCCTAGAATGATAACATTAGAAAAGCCATTGTGCTATGCAAAGCTATAAACGCTTATAAAAACTATCAATTTGACTTATATATATATAAGTATTTAAATGAATCTTGAAAGTTTTTTAAAATTAAATATCAAGTAAGAATCATGAGAAAAAAATAAAATAAAAAATTAAAATTTGTTAAAAATTCTCTAAATGTAAATGAGTAAATGTATTGGGTGTAAAAATGTAAAGAAATGCTTTCTGAAGCTGAGTTTTAAGTACTTTATTGAACGTCGCACAGATCTGGCCATAGAAACTCTGTCATTTAATGCAAAACAAATTCAATTCCATTTCTCAAATTACGTACCGTATTGGCCAAAATATACGATTGAATACCACAGTGAATTAGTATTCTAAAATGAAATTTTGAAAAAAAATTGCATACAGACAGTTTTGAACTAAAAGAACACATCTAAAAATACGTATACGTTATTTAGAATTTTTCAGTTATCTTTCTTCTGGAGCATTTTCAACATGTAAAGCTCATATGTGAGTAGTATCTGTCAGAATCTTAGTGGTAGAAGCCATTTTTTTGTTTTCTTAAACAGTTTAAGAAAGGCAAAATCATCTTATAGTGAGACCGAGTTATATTCGGGCCAATACGGCAAAAAAGGACGTGGTTTCCATACATTACAAAGCTGAATAACATATAAATTTACTGTAAGAAATAGACACACTGAGAAATATTTTTATGCAAAATCAGAGACAAAAGCTAAAATAAATTAGTGCGTTAAAACAGTTTATGAATCATCTGAAAACTGCTGAAACATTTAAACGTTTTACGAAACAGTATTCTATAGAGCATAAAAAGAAATTGTGGCATGCGCTGCCTAGTTTAAAGCATTTCGTTTGTGCAAGATGTTCACTTAAATTGCTTTAAATAAATGAGAAGTTAAGCTTTTATTTTCCTGCAACACTAAAAAGTATCAGAATGAAAAATATATTTAATATCCATAAAAACGTCTAAGAACTGTAAGTAGCAGAAAATGGAAACTGGGAATAACATTCGGAAAAAAAATTTAGTTTTCTTAAAGTGCCGCATCTCGCCACCTAAAGTAATTACTCAGCTTAATGAGATAACCAAGATCAACAGTAGAAATACTTAATACAAATTAATTGAAGATTTTCACATTACGTTTGAATAGCAATGAAATATTTGTTGTACTAAAATAATCAACACGAACATAATTACACTGAAGTTGTATTAAAACTGCAAAAAAGCTAATAAAAATAAATATAAGAGACAAAATGCTGTTTAGAAAGGAAATTCTTAGGAATTTTCTTTTAAGATATTCAAATGTGCATTACATACTTTTAAGAAATTAAAAAAAAAAAAAAAAAAAAAAAAAAAAACGTATATATCAGAAAATTTTCAGATTTTATACCACGCTCAAAGGAGCCTTTTTTTAAAGATTTGTGCGTTACCTTTATTTTTTAAATATCATGTTCCTTGCACTTAAACCTTAAAATTCAATTCGACAGAAACATCGCAAAATAATTAAAATGAGCATATCTTTAGAATTTCCGATACACAGTCTCGCGCATTGGAGATCAAAATGCTTTTTTACTCTTACAGTGTTGCTAGTGCTCACTTTGAAATTTTTGAGTTTTTTAATAAAGAATTCTTTAATGATTGATAAAATCAATGAAAAAACAAATTCCAAATTAGGGCTTCCAGATGCCTATATTCGCTGGAGGATTACGTTATTCAAAATTTGATGGCACGGTTGTTTTATCACAGTGCGAGGAACATATATACGAGGGTTGGGGCAAAAGTCATGCCAACTATTTCTTTCTTGTAGATAAGTGAACGGATCACAAAACGTACATGTGTCGTGTGGAAGTTCTGCAGGCATAGTGTGTATGCAGAACAACAGATGGCTTTGTGATAGCTGGCTCTGTGGTAACGAGGGCTCTGAAATCAGTCAGTTGGTAAGTGCCGTGCGAGATGAAGGTAACCCGTGTTGAGCAGCGCGCTTACATCAAAATAGCCGTTCTCCGAGGGTGAAATGCGATGGAATTCCACAGTGAATTAGTAGAAGCCCTTGGGAATAATGCCCTATCATATCGTACAGTAGCACGGTGGGTAGGGAAGTTTCAGCAAGGACGTGTGTCAACCAGTGGTGAGCAACGTTCGGGACAACCGGTGAGTGTGCGGACCTACTTGGCACTGGTCGTCATCGAGCACCTCTTAGATGAAGACAGACGATGGGCATTACTGGAGTTAGAGAGGGCAAGTGGCATCGAGAAACGCACTGTCCACGGGATATGGCGTAATAAGCTAGCGTCAGAATCCTTCCCCAGTCAAATTGATGGTGATCGTAGCGTATGGCGTCAGGGGTGTCATTGTTTGCCACTTTGTTCCTCATGGCAGAACAGTGACCACATAGTACTACAGGGACTTCCAGGTGCGACAGGTACGACGTGGCGTTCGGGATGAACGTCCGGATCTTGTGGGCAGTGCGATAATTCTGCACGACAATGCAAGACCACATGAAGCAGAGTGTATACGGCAGCAACTCTGACGTTGGGGATGGGAAGAATTCGAGCACCCGCCGTTGCTCTCCTGACCTTTCGCCCTGTGACTTTGATCTCATTCCGATGATTAAGGGACCAATACGTGGTAGGCGGTTTGCAATACGAGAGGACATTGCTAATGATGTGCGCCAACAGATGACCCGATTCACACATGGTGCGGCAAATGCTGAGGCTGATGGTATTCAGCGCCTCCCACATCGTTGGCAGCGTGTGGTGACAGTAGCAGGGGACTACATTGAGGATCTTTAGGCCCAGGTTTGTCATGTCAACTTTATGTGTATTGTGTTATCATTCTTTTGCACGGCGAAGACTGTATTGCCCTGTATACTACCGTAATAAATTCGTGTGTTACGATATTTCAGTGCTATTCATTGTCCAGTTAAGACCTTGTCCCTTCGTCTGCATATGTCACATTTTTCAACCGGACTACGTAAATTAATGCAGATTCTTCATTATTTAATTTCTTTAAATATAACACAGGGCGAATATATTTGGTGGCAACAATTTGAAAAGTGAGACGAACATTTGAAGTTTTCAACGCAAAATGCCAAAATGAAATTGATAGCCTTTTTGGGCTAAAAGCATTTTATTCACTGTCATCCACCAAATTGTAAGAATAAAAATAAATTTTGAGACTAGAATTTCAGTTAACACTTTGTTTTTAATGTATGATCCTCAGAATAAACCTTAATATACAGAAGGAAGAAATTAAGTTCCCATGCCCAGTTCTGTTTCATATTCTAAATACAAAAAGATTTTCAGGTTGTAGTAAAACTTTCAATAACATCTTTAAAATGATTTCTATTACAGAGAATTAGAAAAGGAAACGTTTGATTTTATTCCAAATACTAACGATCTGAACTGATTTACATCATAATCCTACAAAAACGCAAAATATTGAAATAAAAGCACAGAAAATTAAATGGAGTTATAAGAAATTTATTTCCTCTTTTTACTTTATTTAATCATGATTAAGAAGTAAAACTCTGTTGCTTATTTTTCATTAATCTTTAAATGCCCTTACAGCACATGTCATAAAAACAATACTTCAAAATAGACAAAACAAAGCCAAGCAACTTTCTAAAGTATTAAACAAAGTATAAATTGTAGATGTGCCGGTATAATTAAGGCACTGAGATATTTTCCAAGTTTGATTTTAATATAATTGGTCAGATAGCGTAATATCGGAAAATATTTCATTCTTAATTTTAAAGTTTCCTTGGCCAGTATAAGAAAATACTTTTGGACTATTAGTGGAAGAGTGACCCTTTTAAACTTAGATGTAATGGATCAATTATATTTTAATTTTCAGATTAACAAAGCGAAATTCTTTTATATTCAGAATTACCTACAAAGAAAAGATACACTTTGTTGACTAGTGCTATCAAGCATATAAACAGAAGGAATATGTACATTGCGGGAGAATAACATTTATATTAAATTTTATTTGAAAGTTCATTCTTTTTCTGTAGTTTTGTCACACAAAATAAGCATTCTCTTTTCTAAAATATACCCTGCGTGCATTTCTGAAGCATAAGTGTCATTTCAAATGCTGTTATGTTCATAGTTCTGATACTAGAAAAATGCAGACATTTCGTAATCCATCGAAGATTTGCTCCGAAATAATTTCAGAGGTATAATACCCTAAAGTTTGCAAACGATGTATCAGTTCTATTTGCAGAAATTCACCTCTAAATTTAGCACAGAAAATGTAAGGTGTGCATGGAATATAATTTAAGAAAAAAAAGATCGAAGTAAACAAGTTTCTGGCGATGCAAATTCTTCTCGTTTGGAAGAAATATAATATACCAGAATCTTTCTTTCATACAGTATACATGCGAAAACAGTAGATCTTAGATGCAATAAACTGGCTGTATGTCATTCCGCATTAGTAGTTACTTACAATGTTGGGATTACTTGTATCCATTTATAAGGACTTGAATATACAAGTGAAAATCCATTGAACCACTGATGGTATTCAATAAGATTATGACATATGTTTAGGCAGAACTCACACGCAGGCTGTTCCCAAAGTTTGCGTTGGCTCGGCAGGCGGTATGGCAGCCCATTTACCTTTACTCCACCGTGTTAGAAATAAGAATGCAAAAGTGTCTCTAAATTGGCGACTCATTGAACAATAAATGATAAAGTTGACGGCACTATTCACTAGAGCTAAAATGTCCATTGTCTCTCCAAAATTCAAGTATACATTATTGAAAAATTCGTCACCCAAAGCACCACTTAAAAGGGCAAGCATCCCAGATGGGAATTCTGTGAGAAGAAATAGCAAAAGCACAGCTAAGAGCATTTTTGTGGTCCTGTCATGACTTTTGTCACATTCAGACCTTAGCTTCAGCCTCTGCCTCCTGTCGTTTGCTTCATAAAGAACTCTGATGAGTCCAAGACTCAATCCTGTAAGAGCGACGCATGGCACTAGCTTTGTAATCACACTAAACATCCAGAAATTGATTTTAGCTAGAAGTCCATTATGGCGCCTTGCTATCTCACTAAAATCTACTCTATAAAGAGTATTGCCAATTTTGTCCGAATAAGATGCCACAGTAAAAGTCAAGTATACGGGAATGCAGAAGACTGTACACACAGTATAGGTAGATGCAATCGCCACACGTGCCCTCACAAGACCTCTCCATCTCATAGTAGGCGCTGGATAACATACTGCCATGAATCTCCATATAGCTACAGTAACTGTCAACCATATGGATATAGTGTGATTTACCACAGTAAAATGTGCGTGAAAGAGAGTGAATACAGCCCAAGTAAAAGAAAATTTATCCTTTTCTTCCAAACTCATTCTCAAATAATTGTGGAAGCTGAAAGGGACGTAGGAGAACATCACCATCATATCAGCTACCGCCAGTCCGGTAAGAATAGCATTGGTTGGCGAGATCATGTTCTTCCTTGTCAGGACAATTATGTTCATTACATTCGCCGTTATACCGAACAAGCAGACAGTTAAACTTATGTAGCCGTGTATGGAAGAATAAAATTTTCTATAGATTTCTAGTTGGTCCCCATAATATGGCCGAAATTGAAGTGGCGGAATCTCTGTTCCCAGGGAAGTGTTTTCTAATGAATAAGGGTCTGTGTCATTGGAGAGAAATATCCCTTGAGCCCAAGGAGTAAGGAACTCCTCAGAACTCTCTGGAGACTCCAAACTAAGATTCATGGCTTCTTTGCAAGAAAAATCAATTTCCTTCCGAATCTCTCAAAGAGGATTCATTACTGGCACGGCATCTGAAATGAGACAGAGAAAAGTAGGTCAGACAGATTTTGCAAAATTCTTTCATCTGTTTTATTGCTAGATTTGAGAAAAAGTTTGATAAATTATTTAATAAGAAAATTTTCAGCAACGGTATATATAGCGGATATACTAGTGATAACACTTCTCGAAAACTTTTTTTTTGGAAAATATACATATATATTATTTCACTAAATCATTCAGTGCTCTCAGTCCATACATACATATACATATTACTTCTAAAAACCTTTCTCATAAACATCAAGTGAATGTGTGAAAACAATACAAGTGAATGTGTGAAATATATTTATTAAATTCTTTGCATTATTATTTCGAATAACTAATTTACATGTGAAATTAAAATAATAAAATTGTAAAAATAATGAAGGCAATATGACATTTAGAAATATTAAAGCCACAAAGCTATAAAATTCATGAAATTTCTATGAATTATTTAAAATGTATTGTAAGGTCCCTCACTTGAAATTCTAAGTTAATGTTGGAAGTGAGGAACCTAGGAACTGATAATCGAATAATCGCTTGAGTTCGAAGACAGGTAACAACAAGAGAGAAGGGTAAATAACCCTTTATTATTTCTATAAGATTTAACAAAACTCCGCCTGGGAGTGAACAAATAAAGTCACTTGAACTTAAAAGACTAAGAATTAAACTAAAACTAAGGTTAACTAACTAAGTATAGCCAAAGCTATCAAGGTTCAATGAGAGTTGGCCCCATAACTTATTTTACTACGAAGCTTAGCAAGGGCCTGAGTACGGCCGAGCGTATAACAGCTTTGAGAGAGAGAGAGTGGCCAGAAAGGCAGACGCGCGTAGTTCAGAAACTCTGTTTCTCTCTCTGTCTCAGTAAGTAACTTCGTGGTTTAAATACCGCTCCTTCTCGTTAAATATTCAGCAAATTCCAAAACTACGTTCTGGCCGGAAGTAGTAAGTTGAAGTTAAGAATTTGACAGGAAAGGAATATTAACTTAAAATTTAACTGTTAATAAAATTAACATAATCCTTACAGTATTATTAAAAGTTACATACAAAAATTAATGTGTTAGCTTACACTTCGAATTCTGTATTCATTCCTTAAATTATATTCAACAACGCCAGCAATTTCTACTGTTCAGATATTTTCAAAATTGTATGAACTTAGTCAGCAGCATTTGTCCAAAATTCACAAACTGCTCAATATTAATATATTTTGGACATTATGCAGCCTTTAGTAATCCATGATAATTTCTATTTTGGTGTGAAAGAGACTGCTAGCAGCAGATATTTAGCAGATGACTTTCAGTTTTTGAAAGCGTTATATGCAATCATTATTTCTGATTAAGACAGTTCTCCATTGCTAATGCAAAACGTGCTAAAGCGAGCATAACTCTGTTTTTTACACAGTAAAGCAATTTAAACACAGTACACTAACGATTCGTATGATTGCGATTAAACAGATGTTTAATCGAAATCTTACGAAGCTATATATGATAAAATGTATGATTAATTTGTAGAAAAATATTTCTTTATTCTTCATTGGAATTAAAGGTGAAATTTAGTTCTTGTACTTATTACATTCCTCCTTAAGATGGAAACCTTTACAGACTTCATAAACAATCAATCAGATTTTTCAGTTTGTTTTATACTAATACAGGTGACTCCAGTGTTCAAAACATTTTTCTGTTTATGCCATTTAGTTAAATATGTTGCAAATACATTTGTATACAAATGTTGCAAATACATTTGTATACAAATGGATCGAAGGTTTACAAATCTAAATTCATTTCTTTTGCGTCGTAATAAATATAACAACCATGTTTTGAAATCTGAGGAATTCATAAATGAGTTTAGTTAGACAGTCATGTCTTTCAGTATTTGACCACAAAAAGCTTAAAAATTAAGTAGATTTTTTTTCGGTGGATGTGAACGAATCTTTAATGTCTTATTCAGTTTAATGCAAGGCAGTTTTATTGCTGTATAGTCTATTAAACTGAATAGATCAGGAATGAAACTCTTCACGTGTTATAGCAATGATTTGTTGTACTCAATCACGTAATTATGGTTCAGCATTTCAGTGGTAGAGCTAATTCAAAGATGATACTGTGCGAATGATCAAAGGACGTTCTGCATATGAACCACAGAAATTACATTTCCATTCCATAACTACACAGTGACCAATCTCTGATATATGCCCACATCTTTAAAACTCATTTATTTGAACCATGGGAAGAAAAAACATGATGTGTTCCAGAAAATAATGCTTCTTTATCCTGGACATTGTCCTAATCTACGTTACTGTTGTGGCCTTGGAAATAGTGGCTGAAATATGTGGGTGAGCATTAAAATGACTTTGTATAGCGTAATATGGTCGCAGGAATTTTTAACATTGAAAAATGTCTCCTACAAATCATATCCTATCTTGATGAGGAAGTGAAAAGTGCCTCCGCGACACTGTTGAAAAAGATGTCACAAAATAGTCTATTCATGTACCTGAATATTTCGTAAAAACGTTCCAAAATTCAATTAGTGTAAGAGAATCTACTTTAAAAGAGAAAACTAATGTAAATTTTTTAGGATCATCTGATATTTAATAAAGGAATTAGCCTTAAAAACATTGAATCAGTTATCCATTTATTATCATAATATTGCAATTTAGTGTAGGTAGGTAGGTAACGGGGAGCACGGGCACTGTCCCTTTACCATAATGGTTAATCGGTATTGCACCGTGCCCACCACTGTCTAGAGCCAATGTGTAGGAGCCACATTTGCGCCCAGCACCAAAAGCCGAGGCCCAACGCTCGGACCATCCAGAGGGCAGTCAAACTGACCAAAAGCGCCCTCCACACAACGCTCACCCAACCGTCCAGGCATTAGTACATATGATAGCAAATACTGAGATTCTCTGACGATTATAATACAATGTGCAATTGGTATATAATGAAATTGCAATTATAAATATACTGCATAATACAACTCCAATAGTACAATAGATATAATTACAAATGCAAATATTTCGTGAACCATAAGTGCAAAATAATAGTAAGTTAAAGGACTACTGCTTCAAATATTAGTACATATGATAACATACTGAAATTCTCTGACAATTATAATACAATGATCAATTGGTACATAATAGATTGTAAATACAAATAGACTGTATAATACAATACAAGTCGAACAGTACAATATAATGCAAACACGAGTATGTAATTACAAATGTTAATATTTCATGAACCATCAGTGCAAAACAATACTAAGTTAAAGGACTATGTATATCAATGCAAAACGTAAAGTTAAAGAGTAGTAGTATACAATGTTAGATATAGATATACTATACAAAAGAAAGTCATATTCGTACAACAGAATGGTATTGCAATTTAAATACCAACAGTATTAAAATATAATTATAATAATAAACTAAAATAAAAATCCGAACATATGACCAATACAAAAGCAAAATGTTATTCTTAAAATATCTATGCAATGCATATTCAAATACAGTCAGTAGATATATACTGATATAATTATAAATGCATAACAAGTTAAAGACATATCGAGAAAACAACCCAATACAATCGATAAGATCTAAACAATACAAATTCAAATACTAAAATAATCCAGATATTAATAGAAAAGTAAATGCATATATCAAATGGTACTTCTAACAAAGATAAATAAAATATATATATATATATGTAAACATTCTTATTGAACAAAATTCAACGAAGATTCAATGAGACAAATCCCAATCCAAGCATGTGATAAGTTGACATATGGGAATAGTAGATTAACACTAACATGTATGCGTACAATATAATAAAATTGTAAATTATGTTACCAAGCACAAGTCAGTACCATAGGAATGAAGTATTTCCATAATTTTGATCAGTTTTTTAACTAAGTATTTTTGTTTAATTAAAAACTTACAAAATGCACGAGTGTTAGTATTTGGTATGGGAATGTGATAATCTTGTGTAATAGGACACTGAGTCACATAATGTTCAGGATTTCCAAGTTTACCACATACACACATATCAGTATTTGAAATCCCATGTCGATAATAGTAAACTGGATAGGGTCCATGCCCTGTAATATAACGTACCAAATGATGATTGGTAACCTGTCTATGTATATCAACATATGAAATATGAAAATAAGTACGACGACCTGTGTCGGAGTCATCCCAGTTTGTTTGCCACGCAGAAATAGTCTTGAGTAAAATTTCCTTTTTAAAATACGAAATTGGCCGTTTTGCAATTTAGTGTAGCACCATTCTCTTTTTTATGTTAGTGACTATAGTATTTTGTGTGTAAATGGTATTAATATAATTCTTCTACAATGGAAAATGTTGGCACAAGTATACTCTGTGAAGCCATTTACAAAAAAGAACGCACTTCAATTTACTTATTAAAATGTTTGCATGCATGTGAAAATATAATTAATTATCTTACTATACACAGCAGGGCTTGATTTCGATAAATAACAGAATCATTTATTGTCTTCGATCATGGAAATTCGCGGCAAATTTATAAATCGACACCCCGCTGCAAAAATCACTAACTTTTTATCTCAATATTAATAAATTATGCTAGTACTACATGAAAATGCAAAAGTGTTAAGCCCATATATGCTATTTCAACTCGAAATGAGCTTTTAAATTCTTCCAGCTGCACCTATGCTTGATAAATGCATAGCTAAGCAGTATTTTAACAGTCAGATAACTACCTTAGAAATAAACTTAAAAGTTCTAAACATTTTTACATTTGATATAGAAAAATAAAATTTTATGAATACTTCTAGTCACTGAACATTTTAAGATTTAAAACTGAAAGAAACATAGAAGTTAAACCAATATTTACGAATCCACCCAGTTTTAGTTTAGAAAACAAATAAACTTCAATGCCTATATCAATATTTAAATGAAAATTTAAATAATTTTAATTCACACTGTATAAGTAAATAATAGCAATTGAAAAGTTATTCTAAATAAACATATTAA